AAGGGGCGAGAATCCGCAAAGATTCGCTAAAACACAGAGCAAATGATCCGCAACGATCAGCTAGCAGCACTGCACGTGTAATGCAATGAGACGCAATAGCCCTGCAAGTCTCCAGAGGGCCGCCCCGCAGGTCACGTACTGTGAAGGGAGAAACCGATGACTCCATTGGTTTGAGTCTAACTTTGCCTAAATCATATTTAGCCACATGTAAAACGTGTCCTATGTAGGTTATAATTATTCTAATAATAATATTACACGTGTAATTTATTATTAAAATAGTTTTCTTATTTACGATAACTATAATTATTCTAATTTGTAATAATAATTATTGTAATAATACACAACCTGATGTTGTTATTGTTTTGCACGTGTTTACAGAGACCGCAGGACTCAGCCAGGACAGCCAACATAGTTATGGTTCTAATACAGATCACGCTTCTTATTATACACCAACGAGTCAAAGACCTCCAGCAAGTTCTATCAGTCAACCACAGACCTGGCATACGCAATCTGCTCCGAGGCCAGCGCCGCCTGAGAAAGCAGAATCCAGCCACTTTTCAAAATGCGATGATATATCCGTAGAAAGTGGTACGTCAAGATTGCCGTCAAGTTTACAGAGTGTCGGCCCTCAGACCCTACAAGGCTATTTAGATAGTTTGCCAGAATCAAGGGAATACAAGGAAGCCATGCAGAGCAGAAATCCTAAGAAAGGCTGGAAACCGGTTGACGGAAAGCACATAACGTCTGGTAAAAAAGTGGCGTTCAAGCCAATATTTTGGGATAATGAAGGACGCATGCGCCATGGGACACGTGTTAGAGGCTCAGATAAATCCGAGGAGTGTTGGCGTCACGTGGAAGGCAAGGCCCCAGCAGGGTGCACCTTTGCGCACTCGCGTCTTGGGGACACCCTACAATTCATCTGTGTGAAATGCACTTATGAGAGAGGCCGCAATGATTGGTGCTCGGAGAAAACAAAGCATAAACAATACATTTTTAATCTTGGTGCGTATAGGAACTTAGAAGGTGGTATATGGAAGAAAACGTCTTAATGTTTAAAACAGTCTTGGTGGTACTGAATACTGGTCTCTTTTACTGTCGGAGGTAAATTCAGTTTTAAATTCATGTCAGGGAGTGGAGGGTAAGTCAGGAGAAGATGAAGTTTAAGAGAGTTAATCTTCCATCCTAAGATAATCCCTCCCAAGTTATTATTAGGCATGACACCCAGGTTATCCGCGGATAACGCTACCACGCGCGTTGCGTGGATACCACGCGCGTTGCGTGGATACCACGCGCATTGCGTGGATACCACGCGCGTTGCGTGGATACCACGCGCGTTCCGTTGGTACCACGCGCGTTGCGTGCATAGTTTCGTGGAGGATGAAAATGCGTGTAAAGCCGTTTAGTCTTGCCAGGTGAGTAAAATTCGTGTCACAGGGTTGGCTATTTCTAGACTCGCCTGGGATTTCCTAAACCGGGAGTGATCAACAACTACCTTGAGAGGGATTTTGTTGGGGATAAGGCCTTTATGGGGGATAAACTCTCACACTGTTCGTCCTCTGTAGAGGAAGTAAAGCGGTAGCTTTTTTTTTTTTAATTCCTTTTCAGAGAAAAATTAACTTCCTACATTGTGTACGATTGTCGCCAGGAAAATTACAACAGTGTGACACTGTATTTTTGTTGGAGTGTAGCTTTGCGGATTATGTATTTTTTTTTGTTTGTTTGTTTTTTTTTGTTTGGGTTTTGTTTTTTGTTTTTTGTTTTTTTGTTTTTTTGAATGCTTCAAGAGATCTAATCTTGCCAGTAGGAGAATCCTTGTTCACAGTATTTACCTCATTAGCATAACAAATACAGTTTCTGATGGTGCTACAAATACGTTAACTCTGAATATTGAAAGGGCACAGTACGATTAACTGTCCCATGGAATCTGAGCCTGATGTATTGAATACTTTTTGGTTTATAACTCAAAATTTTACATAGAATGTACATGTATGAGCTCATTAGCACTTTTGCCACCCAGGCAGTTTGCAGCGTTTGGAAGCCAATCCTCCTCGAATATTGCACCAAAAAAGCCAAATATTTCGCCAATTACTAAGTCTCACTACCCCTTGAAATGTTTGGAGTCAATTCATGGCTAGCGTGATGCCTTATCTACGCAAAGTCGTATGTTAATGAGGAAAAGTATAAACAGTGACGTCAGCAAAGATTCTCATATTGGAGAGACTGTTTCATTTTACAGGAGAGGCAACTTTGTCACAGTTGAATTACAGCGGTGAATTGTTGTTGATGCGGGTAATCGGAGAAAAGGTAAAAGAACGTAAATACCACGGTTGAAAAACACCATCCAGGATTTAATTTATTTTAAGTGTTGCAGAACAATAGCCTCTAGTTCTGATATGGCTGATTGGACCAATGATAATGAAGCAGGGATATCAACTTCACCGTTTAATGAATATTTAGATGATAAATGCTCGTTCACCCCTGTTGGCTTACCAGCGTTAATAATGTCGTTTTCCTTTTCGCCATGGTGGCATTCGTCTTTACAGTGCAGTTAATTCGTGTTAAAATATTTTTGCCGAAGGGTTTTTTTTTTTTCAGATCATGAAAAAAACAACAACAAGAACAACAACAATCCCGCAGAAACTACAACTCGCAAACGTTCAGTGTCACACGTTCGGAAATGCAATGATTTTAGGAATGTGTTACAATACTTGATAATGAGACCCAGGTCGTGTTCTGTTGGGATCAACCGTTTCTGGTTGGTTGGGTCGGGTGGTTGGTTTTTTCGTGTTCTTTTAGGGAAAAACCGTTTCCGGTTGGTTTGGTTGATCAACCTTTTCAACCAGCCTTAAACCAGGTTGAAACGGTTGAAAAGGCATTGGCAGATGTTTACTGCGTTTTAACCGAAAACGGTTGGAAAAGAGTTCTATTGAGGAACGTCAACTGTCTCAACCCAAACCGGTTGTGGTTGAAACGGTTGATCCCAGTTAAACACGACTCCACCGTCTTCTTTTACTGATTGTTAAACTTTTTACTCATGGATCACTTAAGTACAAAACTGAAAGGGTCTCACATCTTAGTTTTCAAAATATTGGCCGAAAAATTACACCATTGAAAAGTACTACTGAATTTCTTCTATTTGAATAGCTATTATTGGTAGAATTCTACGTGCGCTGCTCATCAATTGACGCCATGCTGCAGTGTGATTGGCTGAGTTGTCGTGCGCTATCAGCCATTAGTGTTAAATAACTGGAGGCCATCTTGAAAAAAGCGGCGTGTTTTGGAAAAATAGTTAGAAACAAAACTAGATAATTAAATTCCTGGGAAGACTTAAAGATGGACATTCACTATTACTGGACTTGTAAAACTTGCAGTTGTCGAAAAACTGATGACTTGCAAACAACTGCAAGTTTTAAATGACAATTCAGTCCCCGCGAATTTACTACAATGCGTAATGCAACACCATGCAGAGAAATGGAAATCGTTATTTGAAGGAAATTTAGTCAGAATTCTACTAATTAACAATAAGATTATTCGCCTCGATTTCTGTGGTGATAGTCCAGTCTAGTAATTGAAACCTCGGCCTCATTAACTGTCACCTCGTAGAAATCTCGAGCTCGTAACTTAAAACTTTTATGATAAAGCACCTTTTACAGCACGAAAGTACTGATCAATGGCGTTTGTTTAGTGAGTGGCGAACAGGTAGGTTTTAGCCACAGTTTTTAAATGGATAGAATCAGCACCACATGAAGTGAAAAGTTTTCATAATTTATGAACACTAATGAATGGTCATAACACTAGGTTTTCATGCACAGCTGGGGCTCGACCTGCGATATGAGAGTTCGTTAAATAATAAAATAGTAATATTATTGAATATCTTGGTCCCACTTGTTCATGTTTAAAATGTGCGTGACCAGAAACAATTTGTAGTTTAAGTTAATAGGGAAACATCCTGAGATGATTCCTGAACCTTTTCAACCCTTCCTTTGTAACAATTTGTCCTCAACAAGTGCTTGTTATTAAATAGAAGGGTAAAAGAGGGCGGTAGAACGCAACTAACTTGGTTTCGCATTACCACGCTAATATAAGTAACTGCCTTTCATAAAAGCGCGCCACTTTCTTATGCAATCAGAAGTAAAGATGAACAATCGCGACGCGCTCACACGCGTTTTCACGTTTTGTTATAATATATAGTTTTAGCGATTTATAATATAAAATTATAATTATTATTATTATTTTTCCGAGTCTTCCGGTAACTCGAACCAGAAGTCGTTCTCCCTTCAGTCTAATACTAACTTTACCCCCGATTCCTCGAACTACCCGAGTTTTTTTTTTTTTTTTTTTTTAAATCTGACAATCAACGATTGGATTTTGATTTACTTAAGTGTTCTTGCTCCTGTGCAACTAAACCGAAGTGTACCATCTATATTATCGTCTGATAGAGAAAGATATGAAATGGCAAGCTANTTTTTTTTTTTTTTTTTTTTTTTTGACCTTTGCCGTACCCATGCTTAGAGGAACTCATAAGAACTGCTGCTACCAACTTGGATCAGAGCAGCAATTCTACTTTAATTAGACAGCGTCGACCCTACCCCGGAGAAATTTGAAAACTCAGCTTTATTTCTACGGTTAGGCCTACCGTCCACTCTATTCCCTCACGAAAACGTAGTTTTTCAAAAACGCTCTTCAAACCGGAGGAATTTGAAAACGCCGGCGTTTCGTTTTCGTGTGGATGAAAAAAAAAAATCATTTGAAAACGAAGCTTTTCGAAAACGATGTAGTGACGATAATAATGTGATTTCCCTTCACGAGTTTTCCTCAAACGCAAATCCAATATGACCGCGTAGTGTGGACGGAAAACATTTGATACCTTTTCTGCTTGAAACCTCAGTTTTCAAATTTCTCCGACGTAATGTGGAGGGGGTCTTAGTTTCAACCAATCAGTAGCAAAACCAAGAACAGTCACGATTTGGCCAAAGGACATTTTCCCACCCTTGCCACTAGTTACATGATACTGCCTTTGGCGCAAGATTGCTCAGTTTTGTTCTGATCAGCCCATTAGCTAACCAGTGCGTGATCACTGGCTTCTAATCACGTGCATATTTACATCCGTGAAGTGTGATGCGAGCTGATCGTGTGTGTGATGCCGCGAGATGCGTGATGTGTCATGGGCAAGGTGAAATGCGTGATAAAAAGTGAGTGGGGTGATTTCAATTATATCTTAAACGCGAAACTCTCAGTCTTCATGTTTTGCATAGGACAAATTCATTAACCGACCTCTTGCCAAGTGACTGGTGACGGCACACTTCTCATGAAGTGAAATTTAGCCGGTGTTCATTGTTTTCAAATTTCGCCTCCAATCCAGTGCTGTGTGGTTGAACTAAGGCTGGATGTGCATCGGAAGTTCCCATTGACTCCGTAGTAAAGCCCGAAGTTCTGCTCACCAAAAACCGCACCTGCTTCGCCATCAAACTCGCATCCTGCAACACCTTTGCTAAACTGACTGTTGATATGCCACATTTCATGTTCAATCTGCCAGGTTCCCACAGTGCACTCCTTACACTCAATACCCCGTATGTTCATGACCTCATAAGAGCGACACTGTGCTTGCCAGATTCCAAACAAATCATGTCCTTCAAGCTTTGCGCGTGCGTAGTCAGTGTACACAAGACCTTCATCCGGGAAGTTGCACGTGGCTCTTAGATGAGTCGATACAGAGGCAATTGAACGCATGTGGGACAAAGACAATCGATAGGCTTTCCAATTAATCTTTGCATCATCTTCATGTACAGGAGAGTTAACACCAAATCTTTTATACTTAAACAGGCCGTTGTTTTCGTAAGAGAAAGATTGTATAAGCGTCCAAACACGGCCAACTTCGGAATCAAAATCGCAGTAAATTTGAAATGATCTTTTTTCGGAATCGTAAACATTGTTCATTCCAGATGCTTTGGCGCCATTTGTTGCCAGATCTTTGCAGCTCCGAGGGTGTTCTATTTGCTCGCATCGCTGACCGGTGTAGCCGTTCCGGCATGTGCAGTTGAACCTCACTGTGGTGGGGTCACAAATCTCCTCACAGGTCCCTCCTTGAAAGCAAGGATTATTTTTGCAACATCTGTTAAAGCAGCCAGCTTTTCCGCGGTTGAGAACTTCCCCACACTTTTGGGAATTAACAAAATAAAATTTACATATTAAGCATTAGAGACAATTTCCTACTTTGAAAAGTAATTCAAAAGTACATCATATTTCTGACACTTTTCCTTCAAAAGGTGTAGTCTATCGAGGAAGTTCTAACTTTGAGATGTTAGTGTTGCAGCCGCATTTAATTCTTTGTTATTTTTTCCGTCTGTGCGTGCATTCTTTCGTGATCATCGCATTCTTTTCGTTTATCTCGCTTTCACATTATCGATATTCTGTTAAGTTTTTTCGCTTAACTTTGTTTTGTTTCAGTCCCCTTCTGTATGCGTCTTTCTAGTTTATTTGTACATTTTCATCGCGACGCTACTGTCATCTCGTTTCATTTACCGCCCTGCCGTTTTCCTTTTACGCGTTCCTTAGCTTCCTAGTCATACAACGTTTGTAYGTATCGTCTACCTTCGGCTCGTTATTTCTGTTTCTTTTATTGTATTCGTCTATAACTTGTAATTTACTTTGTTTGTAGCAACCGCTCCCTTTTCATCGCTTTCTTCGCACTCGTTAGACTGCACATTTCGTCTTATCGATTAAAGCCAAGTAGCGTGTTGAACGTTGACTACAATAGTTAGAGTAAAAATCTAGTTTGAGACCATTGAAACAAAAACCTATTGATCAATGCCGTGAAATGGTTATCATGATGTACAAGGTGGTTCTCGTTTTGGTATACGAGTAAAATTGTAGAGTAGGACCAACGACCATATTATTAGCGCTATCACCAAAGAGGAAATAGGACTAATATTCTAACAGGTGTCCTGTGAGGAAAAACTTTAGAACAGGGAAAAAGAACCGTATTTCTTGAGATGCGAGAGTAATCGTGATTTAAAAAAAAAAAAACAGACATTCCATTTCGTTAACTACTTTCTTTGTTTGTTTTAGTTTATTGATTGATTTACTTATTTATTTTTTTGCAATTTAAAAATATTTTTATATGATATCAATGTACAAGGCAAGGAAGCCCGGGGAAGCTAAGAAGGTTTATGTAAAGGACTGCTTTAAAGATACCTAAGACCTAACAAAAGAAGACAAATGCTGTCATCGGCACACAAATTAAAATGAACATAATTTAGGATAAAAAGTAGTTAAGAAATATAGAGCCGTAATGAAATAAAATTTACTTGTGAGTGGTGGCCAAGGTGGCAAGGCCACAGCCATGGTCAAGTAAATGGCAAAAAACAACAAAAAAATCAATTCAGCTAAGCTAAGCTGAGAGAAGTAAATATACCTTTACCAATAAAGATAAGGTGAACGCAGTAACACTAGAGGCAATACCTTCTGGCTGAATTCTCTCACGAAGTCATAATAATCCACCCCAGATCTGTATTGTAGTGACGCTGGCTGCATTTCTTTGTTAACATCGCTCAATTCACAGTTGTCTTCGTTAGTGCTGTGTATGAAGTTCATAGACAGACAGCGGCAATCATCTCTGCACTCCATGTAACAATGTGTAATAGCGTCCACTGTGGACCTTTTGAACACGTGTCTTTCAAGGGCGTGGTTACGAATGACGTCCTCGTTTGCAGAAAAGGTTGTGCGGCAGCATAATCCAGGAGGGACAGATTGTTGTTGCTTGACTGACGTACAAATTATAAAGGCACAAAGTGCAAGGTAAAGGACCAGCAAAAAGGAAGTGGCTTTCATGATGCCTCGTCGATCGATCTATACTTGAAGTGAAATAGTGAAGCTGTCGAAAGAAAAACCAAGTTTTTTTGGAGGTGAAGATGTCTTCAATTGTTTTCTCCATCCCTAACCTCTGAATTTTTTAATATAAATGTGGCGTACCCTGAGCCATGTGTTCAACTACTGTTGAAATGTTATTTGTTTCGTTTCCTCAGAAATAAAACGAAGTTGTTTTGGCTTCAGGGGTGAACTATTTACATAGTGATACCCTCCAATCAGGTTACACTTTTTAGCTGGCAATTTAAACATGTTTCGGAAAGAGGTGAAAAATGTCATTCAGACATTGCTAAAATGATCGTCACAAATACAAATGTAAATTTCAACGAATCCGAGAAATTGTAAGAGTTTTGTCAACTGAAAGGATTCTAAGCTAGTTATTACTTATTTTCGCGAGACTTAAATTTTCCGATTTTCGAAAAATTGCGAAATTAAAAACCCTCGAAAAAAGGGTTTTCGCGAAAATTGACCGCGCCAAATTTAATACTCTGCTATATAATTCTTTAATCAACGCTCTGGGTTGCCAAGATGGAAGAAAGAAGGAGTTGCCAGCTTGGGTAGCAAAGAGCAAGTAAGTCGTTCCTCCCCGGAGGATCCATTTGAAGAAATTGACAATGTTCTTCAGCTGTAAGCGCAAATAGACGGTGTCATGTACTCTGTATAGCGCTGTTTTGTTGTAAAAGAAACAGTCAAACAGTTTTCAGTTTCGTTTTGTATGGTTTTGTCCAGGGTCGTTTGAAACTATTGCTATAGAAAATTAAAATCAGATGTGCAGATTCTGAGACTGATTAGTTGTTGATGAAGATAATTATTTTGACAGTTTTCGCGAAATTTAGTTCCTTTTTACGAATTCAGTTTTTGGCCAAACCGCGATATTTAATGCGTCCGTCACGGTTTGCGCATTTTGAAAGTTTGGCCTAAATTTTTCAAGTTTTTCGAGTTTGTAGTCCGTGTTAAATTTCTCCATCCTAAACCAGCCTTGCTCCTTTATGGTTTATTATTATTTCCTTGGTGTTTTCCTATGTTAGTAAACTACTATTTTCAGGTTTCCCTCAGTCTAAAGGTAACTTTGTATGTGGCCAAAAACAACTCAAACTACTGACTGAGCTCCTTTGTGTACCCGCAAAAGTAGGTAACAATAATAAAGATTGCAACGCTTTAGGGTGCAAAATGCAATTTTCTCCGCTCTCCGGCCTGTTAAGTTACAATGTAAACATGGCGGCAAATTTTCCGCCAAACTTCATTTCGTCGCAACAAAATAAATGTGACATACGCTTTTTCAACTGTTGCCTTGTAGGAAACAACGAATGAAGTGCCCGTTTATCGTTACGATGCGGCAAAAAAACGAATCCTACGTAATAAGGTTTCGTGAGGGCTGACGGCGTAATATTTTAATTTTTGACAATTAAATTTCAGTCCTGACGAGTACAGGGAGAATAATCCGTCCACGAATTGGACATTAAAGTTGACCGTTTATGACTTGAATGAGTGAAAATAACCGATAAAGAGCCGGTGTTTAGGTTTGTATAGGAATATTTAAATTGATCTGAACTCAACTGACTATTTGACAGCATTTTTCTTATTCCATGTAGGGTTCCCCAGATGGTTAACGGTAAAACGTTTTCTATCCTATTTGGACGAACGGTCGATGGTGAATTTGTGGGCCGTTTGACGTTTTATCCCATGGAGATACTCTAAAGACCCTTGTCCTTTCAATTTTCACTACACTCACTTACCTTTTTCAGCCTTGATAAACCTGATTATAATTATGATCGTTTGTGGAGAAGCGTTCTGCCTAACTAGTTGAAGTCAATTCCAAGCGCGGTATTTTTGCTCTGCAGTGCAAATTGAAAATTAACGTTACATTTGCTTGCTCTCACCCAATCACAGTGAAGCAATTTTCTCGGCCATGTTATAAGTTATTAAACCTAGCTGTGTAAAATAATTGCGTCAAGCCGACTGGATGAGGAAAGGCGAAAATTCTGCTTACATGTTTCTTATTAATAATAAATGAGACTCAGAAAAAGCTTTTGTATAACGGGATCTTAAGTTTTCTTGTATTCCTAACACGCATGAAGCAAAAGCTTAAGCAAAAGCACTAACTAATTTTTGTATACTCCCAATAGCCACTGGGTCAACTTCACTTACAGCTTAATTTTAGGCGAAAGCTCGCTTAATTAGAAGAACGCTTTTTAAAATCCCCTAATGTACAATAAAATTAGAATCTCAATAGCCCGATTACACTTGCTTTCACGCAACAATTCAATTTGGAGGCCTCTGGCTGTAAATTATTTTAAGCAATGCTTTTATTTCTGTTTTCATTATGTGAACGAACTTTAGAGAGAGCATGGATAACCCTGATAGAGAACAATCAAACTTTTCATGTTATGGTATCGTAAAAAAAATTAAACATTGCATGAAGTCTGAGTGTTTTTAAAAGCGATGAATAAAGCTTGTACAGCACAAGGAATCTATTATCTGCTACTAAGAGAAAAGTATACAAACAATTTAAAGGTATAAAATATTCTATGAGTTCTACTGCAAAACAAAATGCCACGACACGCCACTGGAACATAATCCAGACTTTCTAAAATAACAGCAGATCAGCTTAACGATTTTGCTGCAGTTTCTTGTCAAAGCAACGCTAAAATTGTGAAAAAAATACCTTCGCTAGCATAGGAAGCGCTCCTAGAACACCTACAAGAGACAATGTTAGCTAAATTGTTGAAAAGAAAGCGAATTGTAATAAATTTTTAGCTATTTTAGTAACGACGGAATTAGAAAACGTTGGTGCTTGCCATTATGCCAGAGCGACCGAACAGAGACCGGTGGGACTAACCGAGGAAAATAGAACAAAATTTTCCGCCATCAAACCGTACCAACCGACAAGAATGGCTCTTACCATTTTTTTATTCCTTTCTCGAATCCCTACATAAGTGAAATCTGCTGAAGAGAAGCAGAGCCATTAACCCGTTTGTAAAAATGGAACAGCGAATTTCGGTTTGAACGGCCCGACAGATCAAAGCGGACCACCTCCAGAAGCGCTCCCGAACATTCCGGTCGGACGCAACCGAGACAAACCTTTCCATTTGACTTTCGACCGAAATTACCATGATGTTTCTGATCCAAGGAAAACCAAATCCTCTTTTTCCTTTATGGTTAATTATTGTAATCTAAAGCTCCGCTTTTAGGCTTGGCTAAATCTATATATTACTTGCTACTCACCTCCGAGCTAGCCAATCAGAATGCACGGAAAGCGCGCACTATACACTTGTGTGGTGTATACTAACACGGGCGTTATCGCCTTCAGTGTGGCTCCCAATTAACTTTAACGCCACCAAGGTCAAGAAAACGGAAAAATCTACGCCATGATTTACAGGAATATTCACAAGAATGTTTTCAGTCTAAAATCGGCGGGAAAAAAGAATATTCAGCCTGGGAGTATAATACTAGTGGGCATTTAACGAGCTAACTTCAGAATACGTCGTTGAACAAAATTCGTGCAGAAAAATAAAATTTACGCCCGTTGCATGAAAATGAACGTGCACGTGAAACACGAATGGTTTCTTTAAAGGATTCTTTTTGACACGGAGGCCGAAGACAACCCAGAAAATGCCTATTATCCCTATTTCATTGCCCTTACATGAAGTAACGTTAAGAGAGGTTGAACGTTCGCTTTTCATTCTAATAAGCCTCGGGTTGCGTTATTTCCCAGCCTTCCTTTAGAGCGTTGTAAGCGGACTGGAGAGCTCCTTCATTCCATTCGGTGAAGACTGAATATGCTTCACCCACTATGAAAACGTCTTCTCCGGGAAATGGACGTTTGGCCCATTTCATTAGATCATAACGGCTTACGTTGGAACCCGCCTTTGTGTTATGCCTGTTGGATGAAACAAGTAGTGCGTGTTATTAAAAATGCGGCCATAGTCAACGGAGGGGAATGGTTATGAGCCATGGCAAAGTTCTTTGTTTTATGTTTTTGTTGGCTATTTTGGGGGTTGACCCTGCACAAGACCTGGCAAAACACAAAAGGTGGCTACGTGTGCACATACAACTAACAATATAGACATTGTAATTATGTAATTCATGAATCGTCAATGAGCTTAAAACAAAAGATGCGCAGGGTCATGTATCTTCCATCATAAATCTTAGCCTGTTTGTTTGTTTCTTTGGTGTTTATCGGGCTTCTTAACGATTCCCTCTATCAACTTTGTCGCAGGTTGTTGACATTTCATGCAGGGAAGCAAAATAGTAAATTTGCCACGGGTATTTCTGGGAGTGCGTAGGTGACTTACAAACCTTACAAAAACCAGAATGTCTTATTCGCTTACTGTAATGTCAATTAACCACGTGATTACGTCCCGAGGATTAAGGAGGGGCAGGGGCGTAGCTGGAACAAAAAATATGACTGAGGCAATGTCCACGGTTAAATTTTCTTCCTAGTAGTACTTTGAGTTCTGATGGTTCTTGTAGTTGATGCTGTTCTACTAGTTCTGGTAGTTCCTGTGTTTCTTATAGTTCTCGCAGTTGTTGTAGTTCTAGTAATTCTGTAGTTCGTATAGTTCTAGTAGTTTTGGTTGTTGTAATAGTTCTTAAAATTCTGGTAGTTGCTGTAGTTCTCGTAGGTATGTAGTGTTTATGTTTACTATTGACCACAAAAAAGAAAAAAAAATGACTGAGGCAAGTGCGTCGGTTTGCCTGTTTACTATCCATGTTGCACGTGTGGCTTTGTTATAGAAAAATTAATAGGTCACGCGCTGTAGAGATGATTGTGCAGATCTTGAATAGTCGAAAAGGCATTTTGAATCTCAAGAGAACAGTTAATCCGCCAAACGCTGGATTTAATAGCAATAGAGGAAAGCAAATCTTGGGGATGTCTAATGAAGAGATTGTCCACAGACTCTCAGATCAGAAACTGGAGCGCTTGCGCTTTTGAGGTAGATATCTAAGCAAGTATTCCTGTCAAGAGTTCCCTAGCCCTCGAAATAATCGAGGATAAATGTTTTCAGTCGAACAGTTATATCAATAGGGCCGATTCATGGCGGCCATGTTGGCGTTTCCAAATAATAGAAAAAAGAGAAATGATTTGCTCAAGAACAGTACTCAATTTGCAACAAGACCTCTCACACTAGGAGGCAGTGTGGTCGAGTGGTTAGAGTTCCGGACTTGACTGAAATCCGGAGGTCGCGGGGCCAAGTCCCGCTCTGACCACGAAGCTGGAGTTGTTTTTCGGTAGACCCTAGTTCAACCATTCGGACTCGCTTGCAAATAGCGAACTGGCTTGCCTCCCGCCGGTTGGGATTTTTAATAGCAATGGAGGAAACCTTTTAAGTGTTTGGCAACGCCAATATGGCCGCCTAGAAGATAGTAGGAAACTCTATACCGAATAGCTTCTCGCGGAAAAGTTTCTTACCAGGCTACTTTCTCCCAATATTTGAACACCATATCCAGAGGCTCTGGTAAGATTGCTCCTGGAAACACTTCCTGAATGGCTTTCTTTAACTCCGACTGCAAAACTGCTTTAGGCAACTTGGAAAGCTCGCCCCACTTGACTGCGCATGCCCTCCAGGCGTATGACAGCTGAAGAACGGCTTCGCCGTGGGGTCCTCTGTCACTAAAAGGAAACACAACCATGAAAAAAGATTTCGAATAGAAGCTAATCAATGCTGATTTGAGGTTTTCTACCTGCCCAACACAACCAGGATCATTTTAGAATCGGTCAACATTGTTTGTCTGGTTAATTAGGTAAAGTATATTTAACAATTATTCAAAGAGCCCGCGTTGGATATGAGATAGTAAATAGCCAACGAGTCGGCTTTTGTCTTCTCGGGCCCCGTCCACGCGTATCCGGGTATTTTTGAATCCGCAACTTTTTCTCTCCGGATACGGCTTCCGTCCACACGCATCCGGCGAATTCGGCAGCGAATCTGGATATTATTTTTTGAATCCGCTCTCCAGAGTAGAAAAAAATAAATCCGCAGCAAATCCGATAACGTGTGGACGGCGAAACCGGATATTTTCGAAGCCGATGACGTGGCAAAATCGTGTCCAGTCTCTTACCGAACAATAAACCAATATGGCGTCACAACGTGTAGGCCTAGTTTCTCTAGATTGAATCCGGATACCATCGGATGCGTGTGGACAGGCGAATTCGATTTGAATACGCTACGTGCGGACGGAGAAATTTTTTTAATCCGGAAAGGAAAAGTTGCGGATTCAAAAATATCCGGATACGTTTGGACGGGACTTCAAACTCACTAGTAATTCATCAAGTTAAAACAAAGGAAATCATAACCGTGAAGGAGGTTTGGATACCCGGTTTTAATTAGCATAGATTTTGACGGTTTTACTTCTCCGTTTACTGCTTAGTTTTTGCTTCCATCGAGAAGATATATCAAACACGAGAGACAGTGTTTCATCGGCTATCAAAACACCTCGAATTTTGTCAAAAATACTCCGCTGCGCATCGTATTTTCAACTCTCCTCTCGGCGTTTGGATATCCCAGTATCCAACAAACGCAAGTGGAACAATTTTTTAATTTAAAACGTCCCCAAAATGTAGAAAACTAAAAGAAAATAAACACAACTGAAAGCCCCCGCCCCAAAATTAGGCATGTGCTTAGCATATCATTGTCATTGAATAATGCAGTTAATTCAATAGTTTTCATTGGCTTAACATATACCATATATTACCATATTGTAAACAGAGATTCCCAGATAAATAGGGATAATGTGTTCTTTTTGATAGCTTACCTGTAAGGCATAATACCAACCAAACAAGAAGCTCCTGAAAAGAATCTTTCAAGCGGCTTCAGTGTCAGGTTGTGAAGAGAAGTAATGTTTTCCCACCAAGGATAAGCGTAAAGCGCCACGGCTTTAAAGACAGGAAGTGGTAGAATAGCTTCAAAGAAGACATTTCTTTTAATATCCGCAGCCACGTCGCCAGATATCTCTTCAAATGGAGTGCGTGGTACGGCAATGATGAGCTTTCTGGCCGATACTGTAAAACTATCTGTATCAACTGTAAAAATGTTTCCTTTCCTATGAATTGCTTTGACTTTCTCCTTAACGTACATCTTTACTCCCAAACGCTTAGCAGATCTTTCCAATGCACTGATGATATCTGATAGGCCACCAGGCGGCCGATAGTAGTCATACGAGTGGTTGCTGTAAGCTTCATTCCGTTCGTATCTTGACAAAGTGCTTTCTTCACCATAAATTCGTTTAAGAGCATACATGGCCATAACGAACTCGCAGCCTTCACTTCCAAGTTGGTGGCACACAAAATCTCGGTAAGACGGAAATTCAAGTGTTTTCTCTCTGGTAATGTTCATCCAAGCATATTTCATCATTTCTGACGAAGTCATGTTCGCAAAGGGGCCTGACAGCAGAGTCGGGAAAGCTTGCTCTTTGAGGGCCTGGGTACTAGATACAAAGACTCCTCTTGTTTCCCAATGTGCGATTTTTATGTCCATTTTTAACATGGGGATATTGAGTCGTTTAGTTAAGGCCCTGAAAATAAAATGTACACTGTAAACATGCAATTTATATAAACCCGACATCACAATCTCTAATTTCTTCGAAAAGTTTGAAAAATAATACATCAGGTTGTGTATACTACTTCTAAGGGCAAAGTTTGGAAAAAATCAAAAGGGATTTGGATCAGTTGAGAAGAAAGGTTTTTCAACTGACACCTGGCCCGGATATGAGATCTCCAAAATTCACTGATAGCTGAGAAATGGGCTGAAATTTTAATTGATAATTAACTAAATTATGGCCGAAAATCTGAATAATTGCCGAGATTCCAGCAGCCTCAAAACAGACTTGCGATCAAATTATCTCAAGATCGAGAATTCCCTTAAATTTTTATAATTTTGTGGTTGCTCTAGGCCATCTTATCTCAGTTCCAAAGGCTATGGGATCCCTGGAGCTCTGGTTGGCTAAAGATTTGGCCTTGGAGCCTAAGGTCCAAGATTTTGTTTTCCAGGGGGCCAAAAAAAATTAGTCGATTTCCCTTAAAAATAAAATTAATTAATTAACTTTGTTTAAAGAGGGCAACACACAACAGCCTTACGACTGAGAAACCCGTGGCCCTCGAATTCCCGATCGAATTGGAATTTAGAAATGTTGATTTTTGTGGAGGAAGGAAAACCGGAGAACCCGGAGAAAAACCCTCGGAGCAAGGCGAGAACCAACAACAAACTCAACCCACTTATGACACCGGGTCCAGGACTGCAACCCGGGCCACACCGGTGGGAGGCGAGCTCTCTCACCGCTACGTCACCCCTGCTCCCTTTCCTTGAAGTCCTGAAGCCAGTAAAGCAATGAAGTATTGAGACCCCGCAGGAGCCCATCAAAATAGGCTCCTGGACCCCGTTTTTCTCTTGCATGGAACTATTTTAACAACTACACCGCGAAAACCTCTTAAACCCCATTGGACTTTAGAACCTAGGGAACCTATTTTTGTGGAATCGAAAAATGATTGGTCAAGGCCATAAATTTTAAACAAAGATAGATTCCATGTCACAGTGCGTCATTGATCATGAGATGACGTCAAGATGTGGTAAGAGCAAAAAAGTGCCACACGAGGCGATAGCCCGGTGTGTCACTGATGCTCTTACCATATTGTGACTTCAGGGCTATTAACATGGAAATAATAAAGGGAAAAAAAGATATGCTAATTACGTCATCTATGCGTCTGTCCTCCAATTCATCGTAGATAAGAACCAATCAAAATGCGAGAATAATTTGACTTATTATATAAATAGAAATATTTTCTTACATTACTCTCTTGTGTTCTCTATCCACGCGCCAGGCTCCTAAACCTTCAAGAGTAACAATTAAGAGACATCGTTAAGCATTTCAGCCATACTTTCTTTAAATCGTGAAGGCATGTATGATGCACGCTAAACGAGTTCTAGTAGCTTGCCTTAATCATTTGCAGACAATATTTTAAAGTTGGGATTCGTTACCTAGCTGCTGACATTGTTGATTTGGCAGGCTTAAATTAAGGATTTGCGAGCGACTGTGCGACTTCATAGTGCAACCAAGTATACCTGGATTAGTTGAAACTAGAAAGAAGAAACTCACTCTTTTTTTCGTAATATCAAGGTAATTTAAAACTTTTACCATCATTATTTATTTCTATGGGTAATTTTCTGATTTCTGAGCTCCTTTCTTCTGCAAACTGAATTTGAATATATTTGGGTATGTGAGCCTGGTTTAATCGGAACGAAATACTGAGCTGCTGTTATTGCAATTGCAGTGTATTAGCGGTTAATTAGCGGTTAATTAAGGTTAATTCTTTCTTGTGTTTAGCCTTTCGCCTCTTTTTAATGCCTTCTTAGCAAAACAATATTCGGGCGCGGATTTACTGCAATAACAGCTATTGAAATATACTAAATGGCTGAAGCAAACATAAAATTGTCAAGTTTTCGGATTCAAATTCCAGGCGCTGCGGGCGCTGTTTGCAACTGCGGGTCATAACTAGCCTTTCGAGCAAAAACAAAGGTGATAATCTTTGTAAAGCAGCACTGTTTTAAGCTTCTTAATTACGTTTTAGCTTCTTTGGATTCAACTTAAAAGGGAAAGATATCTCTAACCACGAAGACAACTCCACCGCCGAAAACAGGAAAAGCAACCAAGTCGTGTTTCTGGATGACAACAAACTAACTTACTTATGCTGATGTTTGGCGCTTGGCTAAACCTGTAGTCATAGATTCGCCCTCCAAGTCTGGAATCTCTTTCAAACAAACACACGGTGTCTTCTTTCTTCATTCGCATGAGAGTCTCTGCCATATACATTCCTGAAATACCTCCTCCGACTACAACAACGTCACAGGACATGGGACGCAAAGAGGACTCTTTAAAAACAAACAAACAAACGAAACCGCAAATAAAAAGTTGAAGAAAACAATATGGCTTATTGAAGAAGCGAGAAGTGAAACCATCTTGACAGAATACGTTTAAGAACATAGACATTATTTTTGCGGGGCACAGCAGTCACCAACAACAACTAGCTTGTTTTGCATGACCATCAAGTGAAGAGAGCCCCATGCCCGCACGGATAGCAATTCGTATAACCCGATGTATTAAAGGTATGGCCCGAGGGAAACGATTCCGGCGTAAAAAAGTACGGACCCGAGCTTGTGGCAGTTAATAACTAAGAAGTTAGTTTAGCTTGTGGCCGTTGTTAACGGAGTTTTACAATTTTTATTACTAATCAACTGAAGATGTTAAAACATCAGTCATACAAAGCTCCAGCGCCAATTATGAGCCAAGAACAGCGCGCGTTTTTATAAAACTCAACGCGCGCTAGGCGGCGTTGATAATGAAATCAGTTGAAGCAGATTGAGAATAAAATCACGTCGGGGACAAAATGGCTTCTACCGATTGTGACCTAAGACAAACAATCTGTTTAATATCGCGTTTCAGAAAGAACTAACCGAGACATGATGTCTGAGACAGTCAGCGCCAAGTTTATATAGACGAACGAAAGATAAATAAGTAATAAGTGAAGAATGATCATCGCAGTAGATTTTCCAATTTAAGCAATTGGAAAGAAGAAGCCTGAAAAAAATCAGGGCTTCAACGGGATTCGAACCCGTGANNNTTGCTTAAATTGGAAAATCTACTGCGATGATCATTCTTCACTTTTATCTACAACCGCAGTTCATATATGATTTATTTCATATAAACTTCACATCATAAATAAGTTGTCAAAAGATCTTTCGATCTACTTTTGCATGTTTAATGCGCAACCAAGCGGAAAGCCTAACCAAGCTTATCTTTGTTTGTCATGGTCTTATCTAATTGAAATTGCGAAATCAAACTCATTCAAACGGCGCTTTTCTACCGTCCGATTTGGACGGTTAGCCAGTTAGTCACATGGAGGTGTGGAGCGGTATTTGGAATCCGTCTAGTGGCATCTAAGACCATCTAAGAGAGAGCACGAATTGATTTTTTTGAGATGAGAGCTTTCTTCCATACTCTAACTTTCATTTCTCCTTCATTGTTTTTGAGCGCTTTTGCAAAAAGATACACGCCTTTGTTTGGGCGATTGATACACTTTCAGTAGATGCGATGTGACCAATCATACCAATCCATGAAAAATCGGTAACTGTTTAAGATGGCGAGGAGACTTATGTTTCTTTGAGCAAGAATAAACAAAATTCGAGACGGCGAGACCTCTGACATTTGCTAAATTTCTTCGAGGCGCATCTTTTCTGAGGGTCGACCCTTCACTAATATCACAATGGAGTTAGCAGGTGTTTGAATACAGATCAACCTTTACAACAGTATGTAATATTGCTTCAGATTCAGTGTTAGCAATAGACTTAACGATAAGTTCGCTTACCGAATCCTTTGCCTTCGTCTTTAATTACTCCAGGGCTAGCTTGCTTTGCTTTTCCCTTCTCGTGAGCTAACAACGCAGCTACCACAATCAAGGCAATCACCAGAGATAACAACAAGAACAGCACTACAAACACGTTCACTAAACTCACGAAGAAGCCGCGCACCTCCACATTACGGACTGAACTGTACTCCGTACGCACCATGTTTGTGGAACAGAATGATATTCGAGATCAAGCAATTGTTGAATCGGCAAATGGCGACAGCTTTCACCAGACCTTCTGCAAGGTTACTTTGAGTAAACAAAACTAGCGAAGGATAGTCTAGAGGCGTGATTTTCAAACGTCACGCTACACCGTTCCAGACAATATGCATTGCTTCATGTCACAAAACGTGATTAACTGAACGGGTATTAGTTCTTAAATTGAATGATTCGTGGTCAATTTTATTTGCCTAAAATCTTAAAAATTGCGCAAGCACTTTGTTTTGGAGCGTTTGGACATTTCTCGCAAAAGTTCGTATAGTGTGATCGTCCGGGTGAGGGTAGTTCTGAAAAGAACTGTTGTTGGTGACTGACGTTTCGACAACCTGAGCGGAAGTCATCTTCAGAG